AGCCTCTGTGAGGATTATCATCATTGATGTTAAATACTTACCTTACAAGGGGCGCTTAATAAATGTATCATATTGGTGAAATATTTTGTCCTTACAAAATAAGGGCTAGACACATCCAGCTGTGAAACAAGTATTACAAAACTAATCTTACGAGGTCTTTCTTACCCAATCCCATGCCAGAGCTACATAGTAAAAACTTTATATAAGGTATGAGGAAAAACTGAGGGATTAAGAAGATTAAATATATATATATAAGAAAGCATTTGTTGACAAAAAGAACAAGAGAAACAAATTTTTTTTTTTTGAGAGGTTTTCGCTATAGGGCGCGTGCGCTCGCCAGACAGACAGAGAGAGACATAGAGACAGAAAGCGAGAAATCACCCCCCAGGGGGGATGGTCACGCCGCAATCCCTTCTCCTCCATTCTCCTCTCGGGATCTTGGGCACGCACGCACACGCACCCGGCGTGAGATTTAAGCCACCGGGTCCGAGACGCGAACCACGGTCGACTACGTGGGAGTCCAGCGACTTAGCCATTACGCTAACTGCTGGTTCCGAGAAACAAATTATTTACATGAGTTATAAATTAGTGAACACAAATCTATCTTCACAACTATAATACTGCACAGGAGTGGTACTTAAGGGAATTATGCAAATAATAAATAATTAAAATGAAATTAAGAGGGTATTTGGATAGCTAGGAAAAAATATCCAATGGCCAACTCTGAGATTTGAAAGAACAAAGACAGAGCTCATAGTACAACCTAAATTTGGTTTTGTCTCCTGTGAGGCAGTGGGAACACAGCTTCCTAGAGCCTTGGTGAGTAGAGCATGGGTCACAACCACTTCCTGACATGTTTGTATGTGAAACTGCCTAGCACAGTTCTTGGTATAGAAGTAACCAATGTTAGCTGAATCTTGATTTGTTGAGCCCTGCTTTGCAATCCACTTTCAAGGCAAGAAGGATACAAAAATTTGGTTTATTGGGTCTCAATAACCACACGATTCTAATCTTCTGGGGAACAGGAAAGGCAATCCCTAATGTCATAGTTTTGGAGAAAAGAGATCATTCTCCCAGCCATGCTTTCTACCTGTGAGACTACAGCTACTCATAACTCACTTTTGATTCTGAAGACCCTGGCTAGTATGATAACCTTTCCTTGCCCCATTTTACAAGCAGGGAAACACTATATCGTCTGGACAACTTCCCAAGGTTCTAAACCCATTGAGTGGTGGGACTTGCACTAGAACATCTCTTCTAGAACTCTTGCCATAAAACCACCCAAAAGCTCTGGTCACATTCAAAAGCAAATGGAAGTAGATTCACCAAACTCAAGATGATCTCTGAGTTGATAACATCTAGACCTCCAGAAAAATCTCATTAGAGAAAGAATATAAGAAGCTTGGGAATCTATAGAGCATGAAGAGACCGAGAGAGACCAGGAGTTAGTGTAATGGCTATGTTGCTGGACTCCCATGTAGTTGTCCCGGACCTGGTGGCTTAAACTCACTCTGGGCGCGTGTGCGTGCGTGCCCAAGATCCGGAGAGGAGAATGGAGGAGAAAGGATTGCGGCATGGCCATCCCCCCTGGGGGGGGTAATTTCTCGCTTTCTATCTCTCTGTCTGGCGAGCACACGTGCACTATAGAAAAAAACAAAACAAAACAAACAAACAAAAAAAAAACACACCAAGAAACAAACAAAAAACAAACCTCTTCAAAAAAAAAAAAAAAACAGAGAGACTGAGAAAGAAAACAGAAAGCTTGGCTCTTTCTTCAACTCAGACTCCTTTCAAATGTGCCTTTCCATCTTCCTCATAGCCACAGAGCAAGGGACCACATTCCATAGTCTTCTTCTGGGCTAGATAAGCCATGTCACAAGTCCCTGCCAATGTCTGGTACGTGCAAGTGATGAGACAAATTCTAGTCACTTGTTTAAAAGCACACCCCTTTCCCTGATTCAATCCCTTCCCTGTGGCTGGCTGAAGGTGGGGGCACCCAAAACAACCTTGCAAGCCCTAATGTCTCCAATGCCGGCCTGAGTCTCTTGGCTTGATGTGGGAGAAAAACCAACCCTGGTGGTCTTTAAGCCCTGCACTGTTGGGTCATTGTCATAGCAACTGACCCTCTACCTTACCATTAGGGAAAACAAGGTAGAAGCAGAGAGAAAAGACAACAGAGAAGGTAAACATTACATTTCTAAGCCATTGGAGAGTCTGTGGTATAGAAACCTCCTATAGGAAGAGATGAGAGAGAAATTAGCTTCAGTAATTAGGGGTCTGCCATTCACTTCATGAGAAGCGAAAATATTTAACAGACTGTACATAAACAGTTTCCCCTTTTTTTGGCAAAAAGTAAACCAAGTAATGTTTTTAAATATATAAAAACGAGAAGGTCTTGATAACAAAAAAACATTACGACAAACTGCCAACAACTCGCTGGATCCTAAGAAAACAAGAACATTAAAAATTCCTTAGGTGCTATTTTTAAACAGCCAGGAAAATTGACTTAAAATTATTAGCCATTGTTTTCTAAACTGTAACAGTAAATAATAGGTATATGAAGAATGAGTCATACAGCCGTTTCAGGAGAAAACATGCATGGTAACTTATTAAAAGCCTAAGGTTACAGATTTCATCTAATCAAATTAGTTAAAGCCTGTCTGCAAAGAGAAAAAAAAAAGACTGATAACAGAGAGCAATAGCTGGAGCTGCAGGGAGAGTTAATGAAAAGAGCAGGACTGGCCCATGTCCTGGTGGCTGGGTGATTGGATGCCACATGGCTGACAGGAGGGAGAAATGGAAGAGAGGGATTATGGTACAACCATCCCCAGGAGGGGTACATTCTTATTTTTCTGTCTCTCTTTCTGGCAAGTGCATGTGCCCTCTGGCAAATTTAAAAAAAAAAAAAAAAAAAAAAAAAGGAAAATAATATAGCTGAGTGTTTGGTAGGACTGGCTTAAGTAAATTAGTATAATAGGTAAAATAAGTATGAATGAAGACATACTTAATGGACCTACCTTTCTTTTACAAATTAATGAACTCTATAGCTTTTAGAGCACTGTATCATAAATTGTAAATAAAACCCAAGTCACGTGTGTGTCTTGGAACTTAAAACCTGTGAAGAGAGAGACCACAGATTTGAAAAGATTGCCTTCCAGTGAATCATCAGGAAAAAGTAGAGCTTTAATTTGTGACCTTGAATCACAAGAGTATTTAAGAAAAGAATGAATCTTGATGAAGTAAATTTAGATTCCTAAATATTAACTGTCACTAATAATACCTCAATTACAATTCCAAGTCTTAAGTTTCAGGTAACTTGGAAGTGCTTGATAAATTAGGTTCTAGTTTGGGAGCCATAAACAAACTTATAAAATAAGTGCACTTTAAAACTTCCTTTACCCAACCAAGCATGTATGTGTACATGTCCAAATTCCCAAGGAGAGAATGAAAGAGAGGGAGTTGTGGCTTGGTCATCTCTCTGACAGGTAAATTTCTCTCTTTCTTTCTGGCAAACGTATACACCCATAGTAAAAAAACTAAAAAACAAAACAAAATAACAAAAAGCAATTAAAAAAAAATCCTTCACTTACAAGCCCAGACTCAGTGGTGCAGTCTGTAGCTTAATGAATTGCAGTGCTGGAAGCCATTTGGCCCACTGTGGTTTCAGATCCCTGGTCTAGCTGATCTGAAAACATATTGGAGGTGACTGTACCCAGATTGTGAAGAGCTTGTGAGCTAGGGCAGGCGGAACACACAGTATAAGGTTTTTTTCTCTCTTTCTTATGCATGTACACGTGGTCTCAAATCACAAATTGAAAAAAAAAAAAAAAAAAAAAAAAAAAAAAAGGAAAATAATATAGCTGAGTGTTTGGTAGGACTGGCTTAAGTAAATTAGTATAATAGGTAAAATAAGTATGAATGAAGACATACTTAATGGACCTACCTTTCTTTTACAAATTAATGAACTCTATAGCTTTTAGAGCACTGTATCATAAATTGTAAATAAAACCCAAGTCACGTGTGTGTCTTGGAACTTAAAACCTGTGAAGAGAGAGACCACAGATTTGAAAAGATTGCCTTCCAGTGAATCATCAGGAAAAAGTAGAGCTTTAATTTGTGACCTTGAATCACAAGAGTATTTAAGAAAAGAATGAATCTTGATGAAGTAAATTTAGATTCCTAAATATTAACTGTCACTAATAATACCTCAATTACAATTCCAAGTCTTAAGTTTCAGGTAACTTGGAAGTGCTTGATAAATTAGGTTCTAGTTTGGGAGCCATAAACAAACTTATAAAATAAGTGCACTTTAAAACTTCCTTTACCCAACCAAGCATGTATGTGTACATGTCCAAATTCCCAAGGAGAGAATGAAAGAGAGGGAGTTGTGGCGTTGTCATCTCTCTGACAGGTAAATTTCTCTCTTTCTTTCTGGCAAACGTATACACCCATAGTAAAAAAACTAAAAAACAAAACAAAATAACAAAAAGCAATTAAAAAAAATCCTTCACTTACAAGCCCAGACTCAGTGGTGCAGTCTGTAGCTTAATGAATTGCAGTGCTGGAAGCCATTTGGCCCACTGTGGTTTCAGATCCCTGGTCTAGCTGATCTGAAAACATATTGGAGGTGACTGTACCCAGATTGTGAAGAGCTTGTGAGCTAGGGCAGGCGGAACACACAGTATAAGGTTTTTTTCTCTCTTTCTTATGCATGTACACGTGGTCTCAAATCACAAATTGAAAAAAAAAAAAAAAAACAAGATAAAAATCACCCTCCTCTACAAATACATGAACTTTGCTTATATAGTTTGCATTGATAATCCCAAAGCTTTGATTAAAAAAAAAGGATGGAGGAGAAGGGATTGCGGCGTGACCATCCCCCCTGGGGGGTGATTTCTTGCTTTCTGTCTCTATGTCTCTGTCTGTCTGGCGAGCGCACGTGCCCTATAGCGAAAACCTCTCCAAAAAAAAAAAAGGAAATGAAGGCAAAGGCAAACTACTTATTGGTACTAAAGCCTTTACTGTAATAAACCAAATATATTTACAATTTATACAAATGTTTAACCTTCAACAAAAATACAAAAAAACATTTCACAAGATGCAAAACCAGGAAACAAGTTCATTGGAGACACCACTGCGCTACAAAGGACGGAACGTGAGGTGAACTGCAAGGAACAGAAAGGTAATCTCGCACTCGGGCAAGGCGTGATTGACAGATCACCCAGAAAGGAAAGGACGGGCTCAAACGCGGGTCAGCAGATTCCGTTCCTCGATCCTATAACCTTTGGCCCCTCTGTCCACTTGGCCTTGGTGCTCCTTTTGGTCTAGGTAGATAGGTGACCGTCTGTTGACCTTCTGTGGATGGATTCATGGCCTCCTCTTTGTAGACTCAAAAGTAGTTTTGTGTCAAGGTTTGGAAATAGGACTTGGTGTGTGTGTTTTTGTTTTCTTTTTTCCTTTTAAAGTTACAACTTTTCTATTTCTACAAATTCAAAACATTTTGGCCCAATTCAACTATAAATGTTAAATCACATGACGTTTTCAGTAGATGACTTCATAGACTGTAGCTTTCTTGTCTCCTGAGCCAGTGACTATGTACTTGTCATCCACAGAGATGTCACAGCTAAGCACTGAGGAGGACTCTTTGGACTGGAAGAGAAAACAATGGGCATATGTTTAATATGGAGTCAAGACACTCATGGACTGCTCCCTCGCAGGTACTCTCCCTCCTGGTTTCAAAGGTGACTCCTTTGGGGACCAGCAGTTAGCGTAATGGCTATGTCGCTGGACTCCCACGTAGTCAACCGCAGTTCGAGTCTCAGACCCGGTGACTTAAAACTCACGTGGGGCGTGTGTGCCCAAGATCCCATGAGGAGAATGGAGGAGAAGGGATTGCGGCATGGCCATCCCCCCTGAGGGGTGATTTCTTGCTTTCTGTCTTTCTGTCTTTCTCTGCTGTCTGGAGAGCGCACGTGCCCTATGGCAAAAACCTCTCCAAAAAAAAGGTGACTCCTTTGTTCTAGATAAGGATCATCTGCTTACCTGGAATATACTGGCTCCATAGGGAGTCCGCCAAGCATTGAGGAGGTTGTCTTTTCCAGTACTCACAAACCATTTACCTAGGATTAGCAACAGAACAGGGAGTTTTAGCAAGACAACCTTCCTAGGACACCATGAGCAGCCTGAAATCAGTCACTATCAGACCATTTCTAACGCATGGACTGTCGCACCTAAACGGTTCATCTACAGCATAAGCAGATGTTTTAAATCTGGGCTCCTCAGTGAATGATCTGTGTGATCCTGGGTACAATCAAACCGAAACAGGACTTGCAGCACCACATCCAGCACACAGGAGGAAGTACTGAATCAATATTTTGTTATTCTACTTTGATCAGATCCTCATGAGGAAATGAGACTAGGAAGGATTAAATGTCACTCAAGTAAGATGTTGGTCACATTACTGACATATAGGATGTGCACAGTAAGTGACAGCTATTCATCCACTCATCCCTCTATCCCACGAACAAACACCCGACCAGCACCAATACACAAGAGTCTCACATATGCTTCTTCACTCTTTGTCTTCAATGCAGGTTGTGAGTGTCTGGGTGCCAGCTCAGTATGCCCTGTGCTGACCCGGGTCTCTTCATCCTCACCAGATCATAACGACTCCCTAACCCATTTTCCTAGAGATCCCCACCCATCCCTCTTAAGAGTACTAATTAGTTGCTCCCATGACCCTCACTAAAAACAAATATGCAACCAAACCTTGTATTAGGCAATTTCAGTGCCTGCTGACTTTTCTCAAATTAGCAAAACAGACTGGAACAGACATTACTATGCTCTGAGGGCCATATTAAAACAATAGAATTATTGCATCCAGCTGCTCGGAAAACAACATTTTTTCCAGATAGGATCTCTCCCCTATTTTTTTGGAAATATTTTCCACTGAGGCTATTGGTGGCCTCCAGTTTCCTTTCGGTTGAACTCACCACAATAAGCGAATTTGAGGGACAGCACGCAGCTCTCATGGAGATGCAGCTGGTACTTGTCAGGCTTGTTCACGTGCAGAACTTCCACATTGCTGCTCTCCATGCCCACGGCCAGCCACTCCCCCGTTGGGCAGTACCCAAGGGAGAATATCTGCAAGAAGCACAGCAGGCCAGCTGATAACTGGGCCCAGGACACATAGGCCAAGAAAAGGCAGCAAGAAGGGAGAGAAGACCGAGAGTGGGAAGCCATCGGCCAACCCTGGGCTGTGGGAAAGTCGACAGGACAAGCGACCCAACCCAGATGGACCAAGTCCATGGGTCGTTTTTATGAAACAAATGGAAAATTTGGAAGTTACATCATATGTGATGAAATCAAGGAATTGTTCTTCACGATAATGGTAGCCGGGTGTGTCTTCGTCTTTTAGAGGCACGAACCGAAATACTTATGGGTGAAGTAATGTCATGTCTGGGACTGACTTTAAAATAATCTGCTGTTTTGGGTTGAGGATGATAGAACAGACAAGATGAGCCATGTGATGATAACTGTCAAAACTGGGTGATGGGCATATGGGCGTTACTGTACAATTCTCTGTATTTTCATATATGCTTCAGTAATTTTTATTCTCATAGAGATTTGCGAATTTCCATAAGAAGTTTTTTTTTTTTTTTGGTGGTGGTGGGGGGTTTTGCTACAGGGCGCGTGTGCTCACCAGGCAGACAAGAGAGACAGAAAGCGAGAAATTACCCCTCAGGGGGATGGCCACACCGCAATCCCTTCTCCTCCATTCTCCTCTTGGGATCTTGGGCACACACGCACATGCGCCCAGCGTGAGTTTTAAGCCACCAGGGCTGGGACGTGAACCGCAGTCGACTATGTGGGAGTCCAGCGACATAGCCATTATGCTAACTGCTGGTCCCTCCATAAGAAGTTTTTTTTTAAAAAAAAAAAGGCAGAGGAAAAACAGTAGCCTACTGGCCCACCTGTGATGCCAATGTGCCCCCACAAAGCTCTGCAATGCTGGAAGTCACATGGTAGGTTGGGCTTTGGTTCCTGGGTTGACCTATACACACCAGGCACACATGTATGTGCTTATGATCCTGGATAAGTGGGAAGAGCTGTGGCCTCCCAGCCTCAGAGAGAATCCCTGTTAGGGATACTAGTCTTTCTTTCTCATGAAAGAAATAAATAACTTAAAAGAAAAGGTATCTGAGGGCTGGCAGGTGGCATAGTAGTTAAGGTGTTGAGACTCCCACATGGCAGACCGTGTTTCAAGTCCAGGACCTGGTGGCTTAATTTTTCACTTTCTCTCTATCTGTCTCTCTCTGATCACGTTAAGATAAGTAAATTAAATTAGATAAATAATTAAAAAGAAAAAAGGTATCCTACTTACATCGGAAAAGAAGAGGATAGGAAAGTCTTTTTAAAAAATCAACAAAACATTACTAGTGTCATGATATTAAATAGTAAAGTTGTTTTCTGTTCTCCCCCCCATTTTTCTGAAATATTAAATAAATGCCAAGTAATGACCAAAAGAAGAATTCTACCATCAGAAAGCACTGAAAATAGGCGTAGTTACCAGAGCCTAGTAGTTAAGGGAGTCAGATTCCACTTGGCCAACTGAGGTTTGAGTCCTGGTCCTGGTAACTTGAAAACTAAGCCAAATGCATGTGTATGCATGCCCCAAATCCCAAAAGGATTGAGAAGGGATTGTGGTGTGACCCACGTGATTTGGAGATGCGTTCTCTCCTTCTGTCTCTGGTGAGTGCACACACAGCCTCTGGCAATTAAAAAGAAAAAGAAAAGAAAAAAGAAAAATAGAAAAGTACTTACAGTGGTAAGTATTTTTCCCCCAAACAAGTCTAGATTGAGAACTTAACATCTAAATATTTATCATAATCCACAAAGTTGCCATTTTAAAATTATTTCTAGCCTCTGTAATCTAGTCAACCAGAAGTCCATTTTTTTAAGGGATGAGTAATAAGATGGGCATCCACTAAGCTACCTCTGCATTTGTGAAGTTCCCTGATGCAGGGGAAATGAATTAACTTACAGAGCTGTTGTGACTTTTCTCTACTCCGAGTGACAACCTGGCATATTTTTCAAGCTCTACTTATATGGGAATCAAATAATCATCTCCTACTCTTGCATTAGATGGTGAGAATGTACACAAAAGACCCTACACGGCTGAAGGAAAACTATATTCTTCACTGTATGATTCGCCTACGTGAACTTATATGTAAATAAAACAGCAAATGTGTCTTAACCTACAGGATTTGAGTAACTGCTCTAAAAGGCTTTGAGCTTTTAGAAAACATCAGTTATTTCGGGGCAAGTGGTAGAGCTGGACCCCCATGGAAAGGTCCTGAGTTCAATCCTTGGGACTCCCTGTATGTGGTGGCCACGCATGTGCCTGTGATCCAGGCTGACTGAGACTGGGAGTGGATTGTGGCATGAGGACTGCGTTGGGGGTGCCTCTTCTCTTTCTCCTTCTAACTGGAGAAATAAATAAAAAAACCTTAACAAAAAGGCTATCTCAAATGTAGCTTAGTTATTACTATCCTGGGGTGGAAAGGACCACACACCCAGACCACCCCACGGACTCCAGGGAGGGCGAAGGCTGGGCAGTCACCTGTGAGGTGAAGTCGTGCTGTTGCAGCTGCCGCCCCTCGCGCAGGTCCCAGGACCGGACTGTGTTGTCCAAACCGCCTGTCCAGAGCTTGGTGCCGTCGTTAGAAATGTCAATACAGCTGGCTCCATCGGTGTGGCCCTGGAATTGCCTGATAAAACAAACCAGACTGAATAATGATTTCCTGCCAGAGCTCAAGGTAAACACTGTTGTGCTGTTAGTTTTGGACTCCGTGAGTGTGTCATCTCGCCAGCGTCTGCTGATGCGCAAGATCAAACCAGCCTACCCTGAGGAGGACAGGAAGCGGCACCTGCAGATTCTCTTTTGCTTTTTTCATGATCCAAGTGCTAAGACACGGAATGCCACTGTAGGCCATGCCCAGAAGTTAAATATGCTACTTACGGCTGGCTTCTCTGGCAAACCTATCTGGAAGGTAAAATTCCCCCCAGGTCTGGGAAAGTGTTTAAGTGTTAAAAGAAAATAAAAGACAAACACACAGAATCCCAAGTGTATTCCTTAAGAGAAGGTAAGGCCTGCGCTTCAATAGTGAAGGCCTGGATCCATGAGAAAAAGAACTGGCTACACTCTCAGCACAGGGTACAGAGCATTCCACTTCCATGAGTTGATCCACACAGTGATGCCCTTCGTGCCTACAAGCATGAGCTCACATGTTTACTCAACCTTGCTTTCTGTATTAAAGAGCCCTGCATTAGGAAATCTGGACTCCCAGAGGCAGAGGGTCATGCGGTGTCCTGACTTCAGGGGTGGTAAGCACAGACGAACATAACTGCAGAAGCAGAACCATGGCACCTCAGCAAGACTCTGCTTCCATACTGAGTACAGGGCTGTTCTTTCAAAGGGGAACCTCGTGTTTCATTTAAAAAGCACCACCAGAGGCAATCAGCTAACAGGGATTTCCTGAGCACAGATGCCGTGCAAGGCAACACCGTGGGCTTGTCAAGGGGAAGTTCACATAAAGTTCTGACGGGCTGGAGGACTGCAATGTCACGGGGACTGTGCTGGGCTTGGTTCTGCAGGCTGAGAGCGAGCTAGCAGGAGGACAGGTGAGAGAGGGCTTGACCCACCCAGCAGATGGAATAGTGGTCACACTGCTAGACTCCCACATGGCCAAGCGCAGTTCGAGTGCTGGTGCCAGTGGCTTCAACATCCAGGCACACGTGCCCAAAATTCCAGGAGAGTGGAGAAGGGACTGTGGCATTGCCATTTCCCTCCCCTGGGGCTGATTTCTCACTTTCCCTCTCACTGTGTCTGTCTGTCTATCTGTCTCTCTTTCCCACAAGCAAGAGCACATACCCTAAGGTAAAAACCTCTAAAAAACTAAACAAAGTCAAGATTTCCATGCCTATACTTCCTCTAGGTCCACCATACCTTATTCCCACAGAGTTCCAAACTTTTAAGCTGAGCTTGGCATTTAAAGAGTGCAAAGGAGGAAAAATTTAGGGCACATCGTTGCCCTGAATTCTGAGCTGAGATAAATCATGACTTAGCAATCTTTCCTCAGAAACTATTTGTACTTCAGGATCTGGCTTAGTCCTCTGCCTTAATTGCCACCATACACGTGGGCTCCAACAATCCCAGCCCTCTCCAGGATTTTCCCAGAGTTCTCAATTCATGCTACACCTTTTGAAAGTGTCATTTTATTTCCTTCTAACAGTTCTGGACATCTAGTGCTCTCCTCTCCTCTTCACTTCTGCCTTCACCTGTCTGGTTCATTAACTGCTCTCATTCGTTGGCTCAAATCATCCCTCTCTGCTGGCCTACAGCACGTGATGGGTGTTCCTCCTTCCACATATCTCAGCATCACTCTCAGGCCACTAGGAGGCAGACCCATGGCTGTGAGGGATGTGCTGGGTCACAGGAGAGGGAAGATTCTCAGATCTGAGATTGCCCTGTAACACACTGCAGCCACTAGGCCCGTGTGGCCAGCCAAGCTGAGGAGGACTTCACGGTGCTGCCCGTTATACCAATTTTTTTTTTTTTTTTGGAGAGGTTTTCGCTATAGGGCACATGCGCTCGCCAGACAGACAGAGAGAGACATCGAGACAGAAAGCAAGAAATCACCCCCCAGGGGGGATGGTCACGCCGCAATCCCTTCTCCTCCATTCTCCTCTCGGGATCTTTGGGCACACACGCACACGCACCCGGACCTACTGGGTCTGGGACGCAAACCACAGTCGACTACGTGGGAGTCCAACGACATAGCCATTATGCTAACTGCTGGTTCCCCCATTATACCAAATTATGCGTGTACTCTCCAGGAGCTGGCACAGGGCAGGGGTCCAGAGCACCGGGGCTCTGATCTCAGCGCTACCACCTCCAACTGTGTGACCTGGGGCCAGTAACTTAACCCCTCTGAGCCTCAGGCTGCTCATCTATAAAATGGGAGTATAATAGTATTGATGTACTCTCTTATTTTTTAAGACTTTTCTAGAACACTTCTGTTGTGAGCACAGGTTTCTACAGAACCCTAAGGCAGAAGAGCCAAGGAGACACGACAGGCTGACCGAGCCATAGCAGCTGCTGAGTGAGGAGGGCAGATTCCAGGAAGCCAGGCAAAGCTCTGCTTGTTCCTAGGTGGAATGACCCCTGGGCAGGTCTCTTATTTGGTTATTGAGAAACATGGATATTTTAAAACCATTTTGTGGGTGAAATTCATGGAATCTCCTCTTCTAATGTACTCTGGCTGCTTTTCTGTTATCTTTTATCAGTTGGCTGCACAAACACGATTCTAGCCAAAGCCAGAATGATTTAGTATCGAGGGCCCTTTGTACTGCCATGTATCCAAGTTATGCCATCCCTTGGCAAAATCCAAGAATATTTTTTAAACAACTGGGCTGAAGTATTACAACACAGAGATAAAACAAAAAGCAAAAGCCAACAATAAAAATGTCAATGACACTGGACACAGCAGCAAGGCTAGACACCCCACACAGGCAGTAAGAGATGCTTCTCTCCGCAGCCCAACACCAAGCTCCAAGCCTGACACACGGGAGACTCTTCATGTGCAGGTTGAAAACCTGGGGTGTCCAGACAGAAGCAGGGGTGATAGGAGGGCTTCTGGTACAGTCACTCCAAGAGGAACCCTCCCCTTGGAAAACCATTTTTTCTTACCTCACCAGCGTCTGGTTGTGCAGGTCCCACACGGCGATGTTGCCGTCGCTGCAGCAGGAGAAGCAGACCTTGGAATCGGGGCTGATGGCCAGGGCGTAGCAGGCGGGGGCTGAGGACGTCAGCTCCGCCTTGATGCGAGGGGTGGGAGCCGCCAGGTCCCAGATGGACAAGGTACTGGCTTCCCCGCCCACTATGAGAGTGCAGCCATCCGGAAGCAATTTACAGGAACGGATGTAGTTATCTCTATTCTGTGAACACACATAATACAACTGCCATAATAAATGACCAAGCAAAACTAGTGCCAGCTTCTCTAACTGCTGTCTTGGTTCTAAGGTATAGATGGCATTTTGAGCCAGTCCTGTGGCCTGGTAGTTGAGGGAACCAGATCCCACATGGCTGAGCATGCAGTTTGAGTTCCAGACCCAGCAGCTTGAAAAACATGCGGGGTGCCCATGTGTGTGAACATCAAATCCTGATAGGACGGAGAATGGAGAAAGGATTACGGTGTGACCATAACCATTGTGGGGTGCTTTCTCCCTCTCCCTCTGTCTCTCTCTAGCAAGCACATATATCTTCTGGCAAGATCAAAAAAGAGAGAAAAGGAAGGGGCATTACACACACACTCTATCACAGTGAGGTGTCTGTTGTAAAAACATGAGTCCAACTGCAATGGTCTCCCTCAAAATAGTAAACAAAATAAATTCACAGATACTCAGGCACCTAGCAATGCTGAGAGAACTAGTCCTGATTCCCTGCTCCCAATGCAGAACTGAAATTACACAGGTGTAAGGTGCATATACACATCCTTCTCTACAAAACAAAAAATACTTTTCCAAGCTATTTTATAGACTTTTTTATTTCATTAACTTCCATTATTTACTCTTTGGAAACCGCAGACCTGCTCTCTGTATTTTGCTCTGCATTACTCTACTGAATACTGTACCATGTCTTCGTCAGTCAGAAATATTCTTACCGAAGAATTTAACAGAGCTGCCTTCTCAGGTTGAAACATGGCTGCCATCAGGTTTAAGCCTCTCAATACAAGGTCAAAGAAATTCTTAAAAGAAGGCAACTCTCCATCAAAACCAACACAGATTGGACCAGCCATGGTGGCACGCACAGTGGGACACTGTAGGAGCCACATGGAGGCCTGGGTTTGGGTCACAAGTTGACCAAACATGTCAGGCACACCTGTGATCCTGGCTGCCTGGAATCAGGGGAGCAGGGAGGAATGCGGAATCATGCACCATCAGGGATACCCATCTGTCTGTCTCTCTCAGGGGAAAAATCTTTTAAAAAACAACCAATACAGACAAAAAGGGGGAGGGGGGAGTTATAGGACCAAATATGACCAACCCCCAAAAGAAATAACTGTAATTCTCCAACTCAAACCCATCTAGACATAGCTGAGTTTCTATTTGTTTTAACACTGGCCTATCTTTCAGACGGCAGGGAAACTTTAAGCATGTAACTTCAAAAAGGATATTTCTACCACTATAGAATGTTAGTCTCTGAGCTTCACTAATAAAGATATTTTAATATTATTTGATTTTTAAAAAAAGTACACTAATGACCACCCCATAGAAAGTGAGGGCAGTAGTCTTGGCATCAGCAGTTAGCGTAATGGCTATGTTGCTGGACTCCCATGTAGTCGACCGCGTTTCAAGTTCCAGACCCGGTGGCTTAAACTCACGTCAGGCGTGTGTGCATGTGTGCCCAAGAACCCAAGAGGAGAAAGGAGGAGAAAGGATTGTGGCGTGGCCATCCCCCCCGGGGATGATTTCTTGCTTTCTGTCTCTTTGGTGAGCGCATACACCCTATAGCAAAAATCTCATCCCCCTCAATAAAAAGAAAAGCCTTTATGTCTCAAAAATAATGTCATCCAGCTTTTGTGGAATACTCTCTCCAGGATCCTTACATTGCTCCAGGCTGGCTGTGGGTGAACTGCACCAGCTGCAATAGCACGAGGCAAGCGGATAGCACCCAGGGACAGGGCAGCCATCAGTCTGCTTAAAGTCAATGTGATGTAAACCCTGGGGTTATAGTTCCGGGGTCAGAATATGAACCAGCATGTTTTATGAAGGGTATCCTCCGATTCTGGGAGAAGGTGGCTTGGCGGCCTTGGGAAGAGTCCTCACTGCTTCTGCTGTACTGACTGCTGCCCTTGCTTTCTTTTCTGGAATTAAGGTAATAAAACCACACCAGCTCTCTCGGGTCTCCCTTAAAAGCACAGACCTTGTTCAGAACGGTTTTTAAGTTATGTTATCCAATGTTTACTATTCAATATTTATCTGAAGGCTGTAGGGAAATTAAAAAGTTAGGTGGATTGCAGGGATCAGGGTCCAGGCCTGGCTGTGCTTTCATCTATTAAACAGAAAACTCCCTTTCTAATACACATCCACACAAGCAGAGCCTCTGTAAACCACGGTGAAATACTTTACAAATGTAATCCATCAACTCTAGGATTTAACCACTGCAACAGCAACAAATGAAACCTTCACATCGAAGGGAGTGGGGTGGGGAGCTAAATAGCTAGCTCAGGAAACAGAAGGGGCTTCCATTTCCTCATAATGGGAATAAAACTCAGGCCTGGACAGCTATTTCCTTATTGGGTCTCCAGGGAGAAATGATCCTTGTGCACCAGTTCCTGTTCACTCACCAGACAGTCGAGCTGCGAGACAGGACTCTTGTTGCCAGGGTGGCTGATGTCCCAGACCTTGACGCAGCCCTTCCCTCCCGTGTACACGTGTCTCGTGGGATTGCTGATGGTCACCGCGCACACCACCTCCCCGTGGTTGAGGGTGTTGATCTGGCGAGCGTGTCGGGGGATGCCGGGTCCAATGAGGGCGTCGGGAGGGAAAGGGACAGGCTGCATCTGACCGTCTGCAGTAACGTGGAAGGAGTACGCTCTTTTGGAGAGGGGACAATTGGAGAGAAGAGAGGAGAGGAGAGAGAAAATACATTATCATAGGGGAACCAGTCATGATCTCAGCAAAGACCAGCAGAAAACATAAGGAAAGCAACGACTCCCTTGTTATAGTTTCCTTCTGAAATCAAAACAAGTCGAACAAATTTAAAATAAATAATACTGGAAAATCTAGGGTGTACCCAAAGATATATCTATTGAACTGCTTTTTTTTTAAAATTTAAGATTTAACAATTGTGCTTCTCCATTTTAGAACATATTCCCTCAAATCCCATTACAAATCATGTCATGTGCTTTCAAATTAACATAAAATACCTCCTTCCATGTATCTTGTATAACTGTATGATTTCCTAGTATAATTTAAAATGATTGCTTTTGGCTCTTAAGATGAAGCCCTTTTAGAACTCATAATTAATACACACACCAACTAGTATATTTCAACACTAGCAAACAAAAGCAGATTTCTAAACACACAAGTTTAAACCCTAAACTCAACTCTTCTGTTTAACCAGTAAGAGATTCTCTTCTGTCGAATGGCTCTGAGACAGAGATTTTAATGTTCCAACCTGCCCTGCCTACCTGTTCACAAATGTCGGTTTTATCTAACGCAGCTCTCAGCTAAAAAACCACTCTTCCCAGTCTCCCTTAGCCAGGTGTGCTCATGCTCTGAGATGTAGGAAGCAGCTACTGCGAGGCACTTAGAGGAAGTCCTTAACTGAAAGAAAGTGTTAGAGAAGAAGAAACACGCAACTCTGTACTTTCTGCTCGATTTTACTACAAACTTAAAACTGTTCTTAGATTAAAAAATAAACGAAATCTACATTGGGTCGAGGGATAAAAAGATGATGACAGGAAGAAGAAGAAAAAGAAAGAGGATGTGCCTGCTCACTCTTTTTCCTTCCCACTGCCTGAAACATGGGCACCATGACTGGCGCTCCTGCAGCCCTTTGGTGCTGCAAGGTGACTTGGAAGATGGAAATCAACTGCTGTAGGAGGGAGAACAGAAAACAGGATGCTGAGCTCTGGTGAGACATGGGGTGGGAATACCTCCCTGGGCTCCAGACAACTGGATCTTAATGAAAGAGCGAAATCAACTTCCACCTTATTTGAGCAACTTTTCCTTCTCTGTCAAGTATAAATAAACCTAATCCTCATTGCACACTTGTATTTCCATACCAAGATTCAAAGCACATTATTTTTCTTCCAATGAATTTCCAAAGATGAAAAGTCTGAGAGTGAATACATTATTAACATTATAAACATGCCAGACAAAAAGGTACTTTAGAGGATGGCAGAATGAGAAGTGCCATGTTTTCACTCCACATCAGAACCGTGCACATCCAACTTTGAAGATCACTACTTTCACTTTTTTATCTGAGACATCACTACGAGATCTAGATGTTCACTCTACAATCAACAAATAAAAGATGCAGTTTCATCCCATAACCCCCTGAGGTAAGTCTGGGTCCTCCCTGGAATCACTTTAATACTAACTCAAATTTTGTAAAATAACTTAACAAGCACAAAATTGAAAACTGGTATGATGTCCGTTCTCTACTGGACTGCACTTGAAACCTACATAACTTTAGCTTGAAAATAAAACACATGCTATTATTTTCTCTACATCAAAACAAAATACCAGATACATGAAGACTCTTAACTTCCCTTCCCTCAACCAAAGGAGACAATCTCACAATTTTTCAATTGTTTTTAGTAACTGCCAGAGGGTACTTGCACATGTCACAGACGGACAGAGGGATGGAGAGGAAAAAGGATCTCTCCCCACTAGAGAGCAGTCATGCCACACTCCCTTTCCTTCCATATTTCTATCCTGTTAGGATTTGGCACAAGCACGCATGTGTGCCCAGTGTGTTTTTCAAGCCACCAGGGTTGGCATTCAAACAGCAGTTGGTCATGTAGGATCCTCTGAACCACTAAGTCACAGGGCCAGTCTGGGATACAGTCTTAGATGTCTGCTATCTTCTGGCAAATTGGCCCCAGTGTTTCATATTTAGCAACTGCTTGGCTCAAATTCTTAACATGACTTTTAATTTGAATAACTTAACAAAAACGGAAACCATGCAAAACATCCTGGGAAACGAAACTGTCTGAAACAATACAGCTCAAAACCCTCACATCACCAAACCACTAAGTCTCTTATTTATTTTTTATCCAATAGGACCCTTTGGTGACCTCAGCACTATATCAAGTCTGCATTTTATTAGTTCAATATATGCATGTTACATCAGAAAAGTCATGACATATTTTTCCTATGCAAAAATGTTCTACGCAAAAACTCTTATTTTTGCATAGAAAAAATATGTCATGACTTTTCCGACAACCCAGTGGTTAGCTGAATGTGGATCTATGCCACCTATTATGGGAGATTTATGGTTTTAATCAAATAGCAGTTTGTTGCCTCTGAAGATGACTACTGAGATGTGGGGGTTTAATTCTACTCATGTCCTACAAGAGTGAAAGACTTGAAGAACTTCATAGGATAAAGCTATATGACCCAAATATCTGGCCCTGTGACCTGTGTGCAAAAGTAACAAATATCCAGATGATGCTAAGTAGATGACAGGCTGAGTTTCTATAAAACAGACCAACGTGTGTATGAACAGTCGTTGTCAGAGGGAGAGAATCTGCTTCTCTAAGCTCTCTGTACTTTAAGAGAGGCCAGACCGTGCTGCAGTGCAAAATACTGACATTCTCCAAGGCTGACCCACATGGGAAGGTTCTAGGTTTGTGTCTAGAGACCTCCCTGAGTATGCAAGAAACACGGGTGCACAGGACCCAGAACTGGCTAAAAAATGGTGGTGTATTGCAGCACTGGGATCCTCTTCGGGGTCCTGTCTCTGTCTTCTGTTCATGGATAAAATGAGTGTACTTTAAAAAGAAAAAAGAAACAAACAAAAACAATGGCACACGTGCAAGTCAGCTTCTTTTTGTGGGACACAAATCAAGGAGTATCTCCAGGTAAGTTATACTTTCCATCAGGATCCCTTTCAGCAATCCCAGATTTTCAGAGGATGACAATGTCATCTTACTTCAACTGGAACCCCTTAGTATTATAGAGTTAAATGTTCCAGATTAAAATAGACGCACTGAGCACAGACGGGAGCTCTGAACACTGGTGGCTGGAAGACACCCACGTCTCTCCCAGGTGCCCTCTTCTTTACACTGTGCAGGAGGTCTGCGATCATCACTCTGAGGCAATTTAAAATTGATTCACAGTGCAGCCAAGTGCTGCCAGAAGCTGTGAACATGTGCCTGTCCCAGGGGAACCCCATATGGATGTTAATGTAGCAGTCACAGGGGGCCTGGGAGGGAGGTGGCGCTGCCCGCTGTGCTGAAGAGCCTTGTCAATGAACAAACCAGAACAACGCAAAGTACTGATGGGTCTCTACAAGGGATCAGACAGGAGAAAAAA